AAAAAAAAAAAAAAAAAAAAAAAACCAAAAACAAACAAACAAACACAGTGTTTGACTCATCCTGAGGCTCAGAAGCCGTTGGCTCCAGAGTGTCTCTTGGAAAAACATGGGAGATGGCAGCAACAGAGATGTGCCCCTCGCTCGTGGGAGTGTGAAACAGGTTGTGCTGTGCCCAGGAGAGTAGACGGGAAAACAGAAGTAATTTTCTAGGTACCTCCTCCTCCCTGCAACTTGAGAGTGGGAGACAGGGAAAGTTCTGGGTCAACAGCAGTTATTTCCTGATCCTTCACATTTTTACTATGTAGTGACTGGTTTCAGAAAAAAATAGCAATTGTTTTACATTTTTATTCAAATAACCTTCAGTAATAGGGCTCCCTTGACAACTGATTACTCAGTGGCATTGGTAAATGATACAGATTTTTACTTCCATAATTGTATTTGAATTTCACAAATTACGCGTTTTCATTCCAAGGAATCAAGTTCAGCCACACAGATAAACCTTTAATTCATTAATTTTTCAGTTTGTTTTATTCTGCTAAAGATATAGCTAGTACACACACACACACACACACAAAAAAAAAAACCTGTTTTAAAAATGAACTTTCTCATGAAGATACATTGCAAACAAATGACTAGAAGTTGGCGTTGTTGGTTAGGCGTGGTGGCTCATGCCTGTAATCCCAGCACTTTGGGAAGCCAAGGCATGCCGATCACCTCAGGTCAGGATTCAAGACGAGCCTGAGCAATTTAGTGAAACCCTGTCTAGTAAAAATACAGAATTGGCCAGGTGTGGTGACTCATGCCTGTAATCCCAGCACTTTGGGAGGTCAAGGCAGGCTTATTGCCTAAGCTTAGGAGTTCAAGAGCAGCCTGGGCTATAGGGTCCAGCCCTATTAGGGTTGTGGGATGTCCCGGTTGCTGTGCTGAGGCGCGGAGTCTGAGAAAGAGTTAAAACGCCAAAGGACAGAATAAGAGCAGCTGGGCTCGGGGGGCCCATGCCACTTACAAGCGGAATCTGGCAATGCCTCGAGTGTCCAGGTGCATCTGTATTTATTAGATACAGGTTGGGAAGGGTAGTGATAGGGCCAAGACAGTCACGTGAGTGATAAGGAGTCTACCCCCATTAGGTCACCGAGGCAGGGAGGTGGGCAGTACGAGGCGTCCACCCCCATTTGGTTGCCTAGGCAGGGAGGTGGGCAGTACAAGGGGTCCACCCCCATTAGGTCACCGAGGCAGGGAGGTGGGCAGTACGAGGGGTCCACCCCCATTTGGTTGCCGAGGCTAGGAAATGGGCAGTGTGCAGTAAGGAGGGTGCAATGTGCAACATCACTTATCCAGGAGCAGGCTACTTCTAAGGATATCTGTGGGAGGCGTCTTTGAGTCAGCCTCGTAGCAAGAGAGCTGACAGGGTATATGGTCACCTAGCTACGATTATACTGGAGGGGTTTTAAGCCCTCGGATGTTCACGGGATTGCCGGCCTGAGGCCAACTTTCAGCAAGAACCGGACACAAGATACTACAGCCCCCTTATAGGAGAAGTAACTCTTGCTCCAAGCCTGCCGTACAGTGGGTATCTTTATGATACTGAACGCTGCCCCCTGGGCAGACCTGCCATGTAGCGCATGCCCTTTCAGGCAGGGGCACTACTGCCTGGGTCATTGCTTCTGTCGTGGTATGGCTGTTTTTCCGTAGTACATGCTTTGTGTCATGTCTGCTCTAGCTACTACTCTTGTCCACAGACTAAGATACGATCATATAAAAGGAAATAAATGAGCAGTAAGTTATTCAGGCACTGACAGTGCTGGGGGTCGGCTTAGCTCTTCCTCCTCGTTGCCCAGAGGTGGGGTTACCCACACTGGGCAACATGGTGAAACCCTATCTCTACTAAAATACAAAAGTTAGGTCGACATGGTCGCCTGTAGTCCCAGCTACTGAGGAGGCTGAGGCATGAGAATTGCTTGAACCCGGGCGGCGGGAGTTGCAGTGAGCCGAGATCGTGCTACTGCACTCCAGCCTGGGCAGCAGAGGAAGACTCCGTCTCTAACAACAGCAACAACAAAATAAATAAAAATAAAATTAATGAATTTTAGCCGGGCAGGGTGGTGAGCGCCTGTGATCCCAGCTGCTTGGGAGGCTGAGGCGGGAAACTTGCTCAAACCCAGGAGGCAGAGGTTGCAGTGAGCCGAGACTGTGCCATTGCAGTCTAGCCTGGGCAACTA